AACAAAGAAAAGAAATCTCCTTTTTAGTATATCTGTTTCATATGAAATGAAAATCTATAGTTTCTCAGTATTATACAGAAAACTTCAGTATTAACAAATCCCACTTTTTTCTTAAATTTGGACTGTTGAAGGAGTCTTTAATTTTTTTTTTCTTGTTAAGGAACTACCTTTAACTTGTTTTGCATTAGAAAAGGAAAGGAAGACTACACAGTACCAGAATATCTGCTTAAAAGCTTCCTTTCAGGAGTCTGGGAGTCCTCTGCTCGTTTTTGTGTTGTTTTTTTTTCTCATAAGTGTCTTGTTTTACAAAGGGTTTTGTGGGGGTGTAGCAACAACCCCCTAAGCTTCACTTGTCTGCTCAGTGACCTTCTGAATGATTCATGTGTGTTAGAGGTGGAGGTACTAAAGAGCCAGGATTTTGCAGGAGGGCAGAAGGAGTATCTTCACCTGCCTTGCATCTCTTGAGTAGTCACTGAGAACTGCATACATAATCCCCAGGGGAAAATGTCTTGCTTCCAGTCTGGGATTCTTTCAGGTATTGTTTGTAACAAGGCAGGATATTTGTATGTTATTTTGCATCAAAGCACAACACTGAATATTTAGGTGTTTGCTTGAACTTCACAAGTTTACTTTCTAGTGGCACTGCCTAGTATATTTCCATCAGGTGAAGGAAATTGTTGTGTTTAGATGTTAATTTACTTGGCACCATTATTAGGATGTTTGAAGTTTTGGTGCCCATTTTCTTTTTATTTTTGTAATCTCTTTGATCAGTTAGGGAGATTCCAGCCTTTCAATCACCAAGCTGACTGCTCAGCCTTGTGTCTGGTGGGTTGCTACAAATTCAAAGCTTTAAATCCAATGGGGTTTCTAGTTAAGTGATTTGAATAAGAGTATTGTAGTAAAACCATGTAGCTTTTGTGGATTTCCATTGCCCAAAAATATACAGTATTTAATAGGGTATTTATCTGTACTCCCACTGCTCTTCCAGCATGGGAGTCTTTCATAGGTTCTTCCACTGACGCACAGGTGTCTCAAACAGCACTGCAGCCAGTGCTTAGGCCCCTGTGTCTCACCTTATCAGTGCTGAGAATACTGCAGTATGAGCTGTTGAGTTCCTGAGTTCAGATATGACATCTCAGACATTATTGTGATTTTTGTGGAAATAAGAGCCTCTCCAAATCAATACCTCCGTGTAAAAGAGCTGGGGGGCTCTGTGCATATTGCGTGAAGATATGCTGAGGTCCAGCTAGCAGCATTATGGGCAAAACTAAGGATATGTTAGCCTTGGTTCAAATAATCATACAGGCAGATACAAAGGATCAGAGAGCTGTGTATAATCTCCTGAGCTTTGATCTTTTGTTTTTGCAGGTGCCTGATAACCCACCAAACTATATCCTTTTCCTTAACAACTTGCCTGAGGAAACAAACGAGATGATGCTGTCCATGTTATTCAATCAGTAAGTTTTTAATAGAAAGGACATCTCCTTTGAATTCTTCAATTACCTGTATGCGTTTTCTCAGTTGGCAACCTGATGTTTAAGATAGAAGAGTTTCTTCTGAAACTGTATTTCAGATTTTTGTCTTAGTGCCAAGATTACAGATGTCAGTTTTGATGATTTGGTGCAGAAAGTAAATCCGATTTTTTAATTATTTTTTTTGTAGCTGGTTTTGATTGTGTAAGTTATCCACTATCAATCTACACCAGATTTAAGCTGGTGCCTGTAATATTAAAGAATTTACAATAGCAGGAACAGCTCTAAAACTAGCTTTAGTTGCTTCCATATGTGCTCCAAACTGATTAAATTGCTTCTATGTCATGATCCTCAATTGAGGCTTGGTTCTAAGGACAGGACACGTAAAACCCTTGAATTTAAACCTTTCATTAGTAATAACTATTACACTACTAGATGCCTATGATAAGGTCATGTGGCTACTGAAGAGACACATATTAGCAAACTAGGAAATAGCATCTGACCTTTTTGCCTTATTTTAAAGATTTCCTGGATTCAAAGAAGTACGTTTAGTGCCCGGGCGCCATGACATTGCATTTGTGGAGTTTGAGAATGAGAATCAAGCAGGAGCTGCTCGAGATGCTCTCCAAGGATTCAAGATTACTCCATCGCATGCTATGAAAATCACTTATGCAAAGAAATAACTGGATGCTCCTATAAAGGACTTCTGTGGATGTTGTTTTTTTTTTAATATGATGATATTTTGATCAGCTAGCATGTTTGCTTCTGTCTACAGAAAACTTAAGACTTGTGTATAATTGCCACACCAGGACAGATGTAAGATTTCCACAGATATACTGGGTAGTACATTTTTGTGTTGAAATACTAATTTTTATACAATAAATTCAGTTTATCCTGTTTTCAGTACATGTTTTTATTGAATCTGTCTTAATATCAATCTGTTAGGCTTTCAGGGCTTGCTCATTTTACTGGTTTGACTACATCTAATGTGATACTTACTTCTCAGAAGTGAGTGCTGGTAAAACAGCAAAAAGCCTAAGCAAGAATGCTACATGCCAGCATATTCAGATAAATGCAACACTCAAGTCTTCAGCTTCATTATCAAGGGGACAGCTGCTTTTTAGCAAGAATAAATTTGTCACTTAAGAGAAACATCATTTAATGTGTTTTTTTTTCCAGGTGGGGTAGAAATTGATTACGGTTTTAACAGCCCTGGTCTGCAGCTTTGTTTTGTCTTCCTTATGGTGCCTAGTAATAGAAATAGGTCCACAGAAGTAACAGAAAAAGTTCTGTTGTCTTCTCTTCTGCTCTTTTCCAGCCTTATTACCAGTGATTTTAATAAACGGTTTAGGAAAAGTGTTTTCTGGCTCTTTACAAAGACAATGCAGATGAGCTTGGTGGTCTGTTTTTAGGCAGATTTTTCCAAAATACGGGTCCTAATACTTCTGGTTTTGGGTTTGCTTGTTTTTCCCCATTTGTCAAAAACCTTTACAGGTCTGTATGACACAAAATACCAAATGCAGTGCCATAATCAGATACAGTATTGTGAGTTGTAACTTCTAAATATTAGGGTGCAAAACTTCAAAAGCTGAAGAGTTTTGTTCAGATGGTGTAAGATACTTTAGGTCAAGAGAACAGTGACATTTAATTATTTTTGTGAATCTTGCAGTAGCTGTTGCATGGTGTTAGCTAGGGGGATTGCAGACAGACTTCTGAAGATTTCTGTTTGAGAAGAAGCAGTCACACTGTGTTTATGCTTGTCACACTGCACTGTTCTTCACTTCTCAAACATTTTCTTTGTGAGGCTTTTAACTACCCTTTCAGACAAAGAATGGTTTAGAGTTAGTATGAGTTCCTTTAGAAGTAGTTCAGGCAAGTAGTATAGTAACTGGTGTTACAAGGAAGATGTTTTTACATAGGAGCTACATTGCAAGATTGAGGGTTTTCCTGTAATTTGGTTAATGGGGGCAGGTGGAAGGATACTGGAAGCCATAGCTTTTCATTGCTGTGGTTCCATGCATTCCCTTCCTGTGTTGTGTGGGCTCAGCTGTAGCTGCAGAGCATCCATTACCCCCAGTTTGTGTTCTGACATAATTGAATTCTGACTTAAAACTGTTCTATTGATGAAGTGCTGGACCTTCAGGAAAGCATGATTGCTTTTTGTAAAATCTTGGTATACTTCTTGGTATGTATATATGGTAGTGTCCACTCCATTTCTGAGTGAGTGGTGTTTCTGTGCTTCTGTAAGCATAAAACTAGCTTACCACCACTCTACCTTTATTCGCTTAGAAGGGTTTGTGTGGAGTGGAATGCAAAGGAAGTTACACTCATATGGAAGGCTAGAGGACGGAGTAATGGACTGGAAGGTTAAAGCAGGGTGTGGTGATGTCAGCTGTGATAAGGTGGTGACAATAGAAATTGCAAGATGCTCTTTCTTTAAAAGAGACTGGAGTTTTTGATGACAGTTGACAGCTTCTCTTCTGCTTGTGGTCTGGAAACTGATGCAGTCAGAAGCAATTCAGGCCTCCTCGTGAATCAGGAAGTTAGTTCCCTGGAGTGCTGTTTGGGAATTCTCAAACTTGGTCACTTTTAAGGACTTATCCAGACCAGCCTTCTATAGCCAGACAGGTGTGATGTGAATCGCAATGAAGTAACTGGTAGTTGTTCCTTTTTGTGCACGTGTGTGCATCTGTTTTATTAACATACTACATGCAGCCTTGCCTGATGTGAAGTTGCCAAGATTTTGCGAAGTTAGATGAATTCAAGATGTCCTCTCCAAAGCATCAACCTTTGAAGTCAGCCTGTGGCACTGGATGTTGTTCAGCATCTTGCATCTGCCAGCTCTCAATTGAGGTCAGCTTTGTAAATAAAAGTGCAATGGTTGCTGTCCTGGCGTGACCTGTGCATTTTGCTCTTGGCCACGTCTCCCTGTGGAAGGGACTATACAAGACTGTACAAGTCTGTGGTTTTTGAACTCTTAGATTTAAAATTTAAATTGCTGACCTGCAAAACCTTTTCACTGGGTTTCAACTCCCTAGTGGTTTCTTTACATTTGCATCCATACGTTAGGGTCCTAGTCAGTCCCTTCTGTAGATCAGAACAGGGGCATCTCTGCCACTGAGGGTTTACAGTCCAATGAAGATTATTCTTGTCAGTGAGCATTTGTGAAAATGAAGAGCTTGAGGATTTGCAAGGATGTAATTTCCTTTGCTGCTTATCAGGATCTGACTTAATTTTCATTCTCAAACTTTGAGGTAAGATTAAGACTACAGACAGCTACAGGATGGCTTTAAATATTTAAATAATGCAGTTGCTGATTGAAATGTTAATGCAGAATGGCTTTGAGAAGGGATTCAGTTTTGTGAGTGGACCCTGAGGTCTTCCTCCTGCTTGCAGCTCCTCTGGTGGGTTGGAATGTCACCCTGACCCCCTCCCATTGGCCCAGCTTGTTTGTCCAGGTGTCTGCCTCTTCCATAAAAGACAGGGATCACTGGGCCTGATTCACATTCGGCGAGTGCTGCAGCAAATAAAAATGACACGTGTTTATTTGTTTTTACTTTTGTGTCTTGCATTAATGTGTCCTCTTGTAACTGGAATTTTTATGGACAAACTTGCCAGCAAGAAATTGTGTGCTGATGATGACTGTGTCTGTAAGTAATTTTACTTTAATTTTGTGGATTAAATGGTCTCAAAAACTACTGTGGAGTTTGGATGTAGTAGTGTGAGGGAGAATTACTCTGCTTTTTTAGCTTTGTTATATTTGCATTGGTTTGTCAACTTCAAAATCAGAGTGTTTATGTGGATTGTCACATGCAGTTTTACTGCAGAAAGGGTTTTTCACTCAAGTGAAGTGTAGAGAGAAGGGTTGTAACTTCCACTGTGATTAAATGGCAAATTCTTAAGCCGTTACTTTGCTTACTGGAGAAGAGAAATATGAGCAGGACAAATTCTTGAAGACTTATTAATTTCAGGATAATCGACTATTGTCTGTAGAAATACCTTTACATGTGTGCATACAGATGCACATATATTTATATTTCTCTCTATGAAAGTATTTATTTTAATTCATCCACCTCATTTATTTTCTTTTCTAGACACAATTTCCCTTGCCAAAGCAGAAGAGGATTATAATGCTCCAGACTGCAGATTCATTAATATTAAAAAAGGGCAGTTTATTTATGTTTATTCAAAACTAGTGAAAGAAAAAGACTCTGGAGAATTCTGGGCTGGAAGTGTAAGAGGCAATTCTTGTGTATATGACCAAACTAAAAGTAGTTTAGCAAGCATTTCTGTCAAGAAATGGATGCTAATGCTAGCTGTTGTGAGTTTTAAAGCAGCAACTTAGTTTTCACAGAGAATGTTTGCATTTAAACTGATTGAGGAGTCTTGAGGGTTTTAATTTATTTTTTAAAATATCTTCAGTGTGGTAATTATGAACAAAACCTTAACAGAAGGGCTTGACAATTTTTTTCTGTGCCTGTTTACCAGAACTACTGAGTAGAAAGCTTTTATCACAGTTGGTCGTAAATCTCTTAAATTTAAGAGAAACAAAGATAAATATTTGCTGCTGGGCTGTATCAAAAGTGAGTCCAGCAGATTGAGAGAGGTAATTCTGCCTCTCTACTCTGCCCTGGTGAGACCTCACCTAGAATACTGTGTCCAGCTCTGCTGCCTCCAGCACAAGATGTGGACCTGTTGAAACGTGTCCAGAGAAGGGCCATAAAAATGATGCGAGGGCTGGAGCACCTCTTTTATGAGGACAGGCTGAGGGAGTTGGGGTTGTTCAACCCAGAGAAAGCTCTGGGGGGACCTCCTAGTGGCCTTCCGGTACCTGAAGGGGGCCTACAGGAAAGCTGGGGAGGGTCTTTTTACAGGGACTTGCAGTTGAGAGGACAAGAGGTAATGGTTTTAAACTGCAATAAGAGAGATTTAGGATAGAGATAAGGTGGAAATTCTTCAGTGTAAGGGTGGTGAGACACTGGAACAGGCTGCCCAGAGATGTTGGGGGGGCTCCATCCTTGGAGGTGTTCAAGGGCAGGTTGGATGAGGCTCTGAGCAAACTGTTCTAATGGGAGGTGTCCCTGACCATGCAGGGGGGTGGAACTAGGTGATCTTTGACGTCACTTTCAACTCCAAACATTTTGTGATTCTGTTATTTATAAAGCTTTCCAGATAAGCTATAGGCAGTATTAATTTACTAAATAACTGTATACTTGTATCAGAACCTGTGTTAATGGCTTGTTTCATGCACCAGCTAATTGGAAACTAGGAAATCTAAAACCAGAAAAAGAAACAGTATTAGTAACTGCTTTTGACTAAATTATCAGCTTGCTCAAACCAGATGAGCACTGTTTTAAGGTACCTAATTATACATCTCCTTGCTTGAAGGTTTATGGAGAACAGTATGAAGACCATATGGGGACAGTTGGTTATTTCCCCAGCAGTTTAGTCTCAGAACAACATGTCTATCAAGAAGCGAATAAGACTGTTCCTACAACGGTAAGGAATTTGCAAAAGCCCAGCTGGCTACATAATTATACTTGGCTGTGTAATGCTAATTTGCTGTAAAAACCAATCATAATTGTGGCAGCTGACTGTAGCATATCGCAGATGCTTAGGGATCCAATCTTTGGGCCTCTATACAGGCAAATAGCCTCAATAAATCCCTGATATAAGCTCTGGTACCGCAGGCATTACAAGTGCTGCATTAAGCGCTTGATCCTATTCGAGTTCTTATTGATTTGAATACTATTCCTTCAAGGCTATGGTATGTTTTACCCAGAGTGTTTGTGATACATTGCAGTCTGGATATTGTGCTGCCTGCTTCAATAACGTGTAGAAGTGCGCTATATTAATTGTACATATAGATGGACACACTCATGCAAAACTTCTGATTTACTGAAAGCATGCTTGCATTCTCATAACAAAGATATTGGTATGTCTACCAACAAGCTGAATTTAAAAGCTATTGAAAGCATGTTAGTGTTCTGCAAGTAAGCGGGCTGTATTTCTAAAAGAGGGATTGTCCCTGATTATGTACAGAGCTGTCTCGTACACCAAACAATTCCTAATTTTACTGAACATCTGAAACACTGCACAGGAGAGTGGAAGAGGAGGGTCCCTTCTTAGAGGCTGTTACGGTTTGGCTTACAGCTAACACTGTATTATTGCTTATGCTTAAAACAAATGGAGTAATACATTTCCAGTAATTACCTTCATCAATATTGAATATTTAGCTATATGCTGTTTTGAAGTGTATGGGAAAATACCACAATTGGTGCTTCAGTCTTGAAATCATATATATAGAATTTTTAATCCCAAGTCTGAATTTGGGTTTCATTAACATAGAGAAATTAAGTGAAAGGAATTATTTTGTTTCATGTTAATACTTCCTAGGGTTTGTGTTACAATGTGTCAGACAAGCTTTATTTGAGGAAATGTGAATCTCAGGTAAGTGATTGCTTTTCTTGACAGTATGTTAGGTTATTCTGAAATTGGCCCAAAAGCATTGCAGCAATTAATTAGTTGCAGAACATGAAAGAATTAGTAAAATACGTTTTTAAGCTCTTTTCTCAACAATATGACAGCCAGTCTGCTGCATGGGAAGCTGAACTGGTAGCAGAAGAAGGTTAAATCACTGTCTTAGTCTGCAGGCTGACTTTGGGTCTATAAAGTTCTGCAAAGCAGAACTTCAATTAGAATGTAATTTTCTTTTGCTTAACTAGTAACAGAGACTTTCACAGTCATTTCACCCATACTTCACATTCCTGCTACACAGTAATTTTGCAATGAAAACGAAGGGCAGTACAGATCTTTTCTATGTTCTACTGCTCCCAGTTCTGTGTTGCAAGTGTGACCTTAAGGATCTGACTGTCACGGTTTGACTCAGGATCGGCAATTAAACCAGAGAAGAAAATGCTCTTGATCCCCTCCCCCTCACTGACTCAGGTTTCTAAGTTCACATTTAAAACAGTCTACAGGCCATCTTGACCAGTCTATGTATGGGGATGCTGCTTGCTCCAGAAATGTTCCTTGAAGGTGCTGTTTAATACAGAGCTATTGCTGCACACCACCACAGATACCCCTTCCATCTGCAAGTCAGAAGCTGGTCTCTTGTTCACAACCTTCCCTCAGTAGCTGGCAGTGGTTTTGATTTGCTTTCCTGGCCTTGCACCTACAAAGCCAATATTGGTGTTACAATGGGTTCTCTTGGGGAGGGGTTGCCATTTATATGAGGGGACCTGATGATGCCCAAAGCTTAACAATTAATCAGCATGCAACACTTGATCGAAGCACTGGGTGGCACACACAAATGGCTTTGCATGGAGGGATAACTGATGGGAAACTTGATGTGGAAAAGTATTATGGGGAGGAACCAGCTGCACTGGAGAGAAGACTGAAGGAGGACATCAACGTGGGGCCCCCTGTGTCTCAGATCCTCCTTTAATTAATTTTATTTTAGTTATTATTTTTATTTTGCCCCACCAAAGTAACTTTCACTGTTGGAGTCAACATATGCCGTTAGCATTTCTGCTTGTGAACTTCTGTCATGTCCCACAAGGTGAATATGGCTAGGGTTTCCCAGAGGTGGGTGTTGATCCAGGGAGATTTGGATCCAGTCCTCCTCTCTTAATTAATCTCTTCTAACAACCCATTCAGCAAGATTAAGCTCAGGAGTTCTCTGCGCAGTACTCTAAGGGTAAGACCATTACCCTGAAGGCTTTCAGAAAACACACCTTTACTTAAAATTGAGTAAGATTATAAAGCTTGTCAAAAGGAAACACACAACACTATCACTCTGAAAGCAACAGATTACAACGAGCAGAATTTAGCAAAATGGTACTCTCAAAACAACAGATTACAACTGGAAAAACTTAGCAAATTAGAAACTGTTACCCCTATGTGCTGAGAATAAAGTTAGAAAGAGAGAGAGACAGAGATGAAGAAAGAGTGGATAGGAAAGATATCACCACCCTTGGATCCAGCAACAATCTTGGCATGATGTTGTGGTCCTTGGATGGCAGGCGCACCCTGAGCATTTTGAGTCTGCCTCTTTTATGGCACTTGGCCCCGTCTCTCCAGGTGTGGCTCAGCCTACTTTGTGCAGGCTCAGTGTTGGATTTGGAAGTATTCTGGAAATGAGTTGGTGGGGCATGGGGGCCCAGGTGATCACTTGGCCCCCCCACATCTGGGTTGACTGAGCAATGACCTTTATTTTCATGCATGCACTCTGTCCTTAAACAGGAAAGTGGTATTTCACAAGGTGGCCCTGTGCCTCCATGGGGTTCCTCTTGTTGGCAGTGTCCCATTTATCATGGTGGCTGCCAAAAGAGGAGCTCTACTTGCAAGGACAGTGTCCAGTTTTTCAGGGTGGTTACTAAACAAGGGGCTTTCCTTGTAAGAACAGGGTCCAGGTGGTTATCAAATGAGGCCCCCACCCGAGCACAATGCTCAGTTTGTCAGGGCAGCTGTTTTGAGATAATTATTTTTTTCAGGACTCGACAACTTCTCAGCATCCTTTTGTGCAGCTCTGGGTTATCCATGCCTGTTTGTTGCTGTTTGAGCAATAAATCTTAGATTTTTTTGTTTGTTTTCAGCAGTGCTGCTACTTCTGAACCATTGAATCACACTGAGTACAATAGACTCAACACAGTAGATTGTGTGCACTACAAAGCGGTGTTGGATTGCCTGCCTTCCCTCGATGACTTAAAATTGGCCATTTGCTGGCTAAGATGAGGGTACTTTCATTACCAATGAGCATCTGTTCCCAAACAGCTCTCTGTCTTCTGCTTCCAGGGGAAGCCTATATATGATACACTGGTCGAATGTAAATGTACAGTTCGAGCACCACAGTGTGATAATTCTCTGCAGCAGAATCAAGATCTACATAGCCATATAAGATAGTAACAGGGATTTAGATGAAAACAATATACTGTGGAAGTCTACCCCATGGTGGAAGTTTTCCAGCAAAACACTGGGATTTATTTTCTAGTCACATTTCTCCATAACAAGTGTATTGCACAGCCTCAGCCTGTTTAATGCGTCCTTTTAATGTGTGATTAGCAACTGTTTAAGGATAAAGGGTTACATTTGACTAATAAATCCAAGTACAGATGTGGGAATACAAAACCAAAAAAGGACACAAAGGAATAATTTGAAATTAGTAGAAGTGGTATTGCCTGATTCACTTTAAAAATCTTTGTCAGGAGCAGATAATCACAGCTGTGCAAAAGGAGTCAAAAGACAAAGGACCTTTTACTTTTCCAGAATTCTGTGAAATTAGTTGATTTAGAGAACATACTTTGAGTATTATGGTGTAGTTTGAGTGCAGTATAGTGTATTCAGTGTTTGCATCTACTGATGTACCTTTAGGGGGTGATAAAGGAAAGTTAATCCTTCAATTTCAAAAGCTCTTTTCTTTTTACTCTCTTTTTCAGGACATTGATTTCTTCTGTGAATAGCACTGAAGGCGGTCAGGTAATCTCTCAGCTGCTACCAAGCAAAGCTGTCAGGAGGAAACCTGGACACCCTCCCTGAACACGCAGCCCTTCTGTAATAAATGTTTGTGAAACAAAACAAGTTTTCTTTTAAAGGAAGTGATTTGGGATGAAGAAATAGTCTCACACAGGATTTGTTCTTTAGAATTTTTTTACGTGCATACACTTTGTTATTTTTTAATAAACATACTAGCCTTTGAATCGTTGTAGGTCTGTGTGGTATAAATATGTTATGTGTAGGATTAGATGTGCATTCTTGACCTGCATTTTCCTGTCCTAACTTTGCACCATGTATTAGACATTATAAATACCTTCCTTGTGTGAGTCATCTGTGACTCACTGGAATAAATAATTTTTGTTGCAAGAGCTATCCAAGAACTGAAAATTCACCAGTAACTAAATATGGGCTTTAGAAGTGTGTCAAAAAGAGTGTCTCACTGGTTGTGTGTGCTGGTAGGGGGTATGCTCGGGGTGAAACCGTGGCTCAGAGCTGTGGCTCAAGCAGAAGGATGGGGTAAGGCTGGGCTTGGTGCCCACCCGAGGCCTCCCTGGCTTGGAGGGAGCACTGTGCCCTGCTGCTCCCCCGAGCGCTGGTACGGCAGATATTTAGCCCTTGCTGAATGTGGGAAGTACAAGAATCGGAGGTATCCTGTGATTAAACTGTCTGAAAGGAGGTTGTAGAGAGGTGGGTCCTGGTCTCTTCTCCCAGGTAACAGAACAAGAAGTAATGGCCTGAAGTTGTGCCCGAGGAGGTTTAGATTGGGTATTAGGAAAAAATGCTTCACCGAAAGGGTTATCAGGCACTGGAACAGGCTGCCCAGGGAAGCGGCAGAGCCACCATCCCTGCAGCTGTTTAATAAGCCACGGTGGTGCTGAGGGGCATGGTTTAGTGGCGGCCTTGGCAGTGCTGCTTTATTGGTCGGACTGGATGATCTTAAAAGTCTTTTCCAACCCAAACGATTCAGTGTTTCTGTGACCCCTCTCTGGCTCCAACAGCCGCACGGCCAGCGCTGGGGCGGTGTGGAGAGTCCCACTCACTGAATCGGGGGAAGAAGTGGAAATGTTATTCTTTATTTTTATTTTTTTACGAAAGCTCACGTTTCCCAAGGCAGGGAGGGGAGCCGGAACACGACTCCCAGTGCTCTCTGGCGGCAATTCCAGAGGGCGGGAAGCGGCTCCAGCCCGGCGGGCACAGAAGCCTCCGGGAAGCGCCCTGGGCAGGCACCAGGAGCCGCAGGGCTGAGCCGCCTTCCTGCCCACGGGGCGGCAGGTCGTGTCACTCGGTGTTCAGCCTGCCCGTGGCTGGAAGCCGTGTTGGTGTTCGGCCTCCCTGCTGCCTTAGCGAGGCCTTGAGGCAACATTTAGTTGTTTTGAGGAGGTCGGATGACATAACGCTTTAGGACTAGCAGTACTTGGATTTGACAAACACCTCTGACAGAGCGAACAGTTACTTTCCGTCAACAAAAGTGTATTCTTTTGGCTGGATGGCTCCCAGTCAGCATGGCTTCCTGGGAGGAGGTGTTTGCAGTTGCCTGCATTCCTTTCGGATAGGCCCGGTGGGAACGCATCCTGTACCTGGTCACGCGTTAGGAGCTGTGGGTACCAGGAGAGTTAAGTGTAGCAGGAGGTGCTTGCAAACGGCAACACAAAATACACTAAATTGCACTGTGGATATCATGAATGGAAATTGTGAGGTGAGATTTGGCACTTAGTGGAAAATAGGAGTTCTCCTCAAACGATCAGGTAATTGCTTACTGTTATTAAGATGTCCAGTAATAAATGGATGTGTAAAAGGCAGATATAAAAAGCTTTATATACATTTCTCCACAAAGCTACTGTCCTTTCTTTCTCATTTACAGTGCAGGAACTCCAGTCGAGGAGAACTGGCCTTTCTGTTGCATAAAGTGAGAGCAGTGTTTTTAGTTTTTAACACTGCACTTAATCCATAACCCATGTTCTTGTAAAGAAAAGCTTGCAGACAAAACTGTTTTCAGCCCCTCTTTGCTCCTCAGCCAGCTTGTACGAGCTATGGATCCTTCAGGATAGCAAAGCAGAGAACACTTTCAGTGCAGGATGCATACAACAGAGAATGGGCATACGTATATTATCCTTTTTGAGCTTGCACAAAGGGCAGCATTTGGAGTATCCGTGAAAAACAGCCTGTTACGACTCCTTTGGCAGTTACAGCAAGTCTGGGCCCTTGTGGCAGAATGTGGGCAATATGTATTTATTTCTTCTGGGCTTTTTCCCTGGCTGCCATCAGAAGCCCTGCTCTGTGGTGATCTCTTCTGTGCAGAAAATAACTCAGCAGGCTTTCCAGGAGCATCAAAGACTATCCTTCCTACTTGAAAATCTAATTATGAGGAAAGTAAGATAAAAGTTCACTTTGTGGAATTCGTAAAGCATCTGGCTGTGAAAAAGCATTGGACTGGCAAAGCTACTTGTCTACTGAATTCAGTCTCTAATCTGCAACTGTTGGATGGTTTCCAGTCTAATGAAGCTTTATAGCGTCTTTTGTCTGCACAATGTCACAGATACTAGTTTTATACATCCACATTGTGTAAAACTGTCATCTTACAAGTACTGGTGACCTACGCTACAATTCAGACTCTGGTATGATAGACTAGATAAATTTATAGCTTCATGTGATGTTTTGGCAAGATCCTGTTTTTAGTTGTCCAAAGGAGAATTGTGACTTCATTCATTAGTCACCAGGGACATGATACAATGAATGCAGCCAATTCCTGATCTTCATGACCATTTGAGCAACCCGGTCTACTGGAAGGTATTCCTGCCCATGCAGGGGTTTTGGAACTAGGTGATCTTAAAGGCCCCTTCCAACCCTAGCCATTCTATGATTGTCTCTCTGAAGGCAGTCACTTCAGTGTGTATATGCTACAGCAAAAAGGTATGTTGGGTAGATTTACTTTGCAAGGGATGGTGTGAGTGGTCAAAAGAGTGAAAATGCTGGTCTGACATGACAGTTTTTCCACTCCAGAGAAGATGCACAATATACTTCAGTTGTCATTTGTTCACTTGAATCAAAACAGTGCTTGGTTTTATTTCCAGTATGCCAATTTTATCATTTTAGCACAAATTTCACAATTGTTAACTTAAAAATTCCCCTTTGATAAAAATTCCCATTCCCTCATTACTACAAGAGAAAAACAAGACAATTTCCTGGGTTTAGAGGGAAGTCTCAGTTTCTGCCCTTTGCAAATGTAGAAAAGTGTGACAACCTTAATTTTAACAAGGGCACCCAGGAGAGCATGATCCCAGGCTCATAAGATGAAATCTGGGGGAAGTGAAGAAGTAGCAGGGGAGCACTGGATGTCTGTAGAAAACTTTTGAGGGCTTGCTGTTGGCAGCACTATTAATGTGAAGCTGACAGTTAAAGATCAATAGTTTTGACACTGAACAGAGATCTGCTTTCTGCATTTCACATTCTTAGGTGAAGCTTTTTTCAGAACGACACAGCTTGCCTTTCAGACCCCTAAGTGTTCATGCTGAAATAAACAGGAACTGACCTTCAGGAGAAGTGGAGGAGAGTCAATATTGTGCTAGCAGGCAGTAGAAGATGCTTTTGATTTCTAGTTTCTTTCCTTTTCCCCTACTGTGGTTATTGTTCTTGCAGTTTCTTTGTAGAAATCACAGTAGTCTCACTGTTAGTTTTAGTAATATATACAGAGTTACCTTACATGTAGTGTCCTATTTCTAAGACAAGATCTTATAGTCTGTTTCTGTTCATTTTATCCCAGCATAGGGGAAATTTACGCACAGCTTGATGTGTATTTGATCCTGTGTTTGCCGGTGTAGCAGCATTGTTGCGTGAGCATAGGGTGACATCCAGCGGCTGCTGCTTGCCTGGCTGGAAGTAGGACTCGGCTGGATTGCAGCATCACAGGGACACCCCAGCAGGGAGGGCCCTCCTCAAACCAGGGGCACAGTGAATCTACATCAGAATGCTTACAGATTTGCCCAGTCTTGAAAACCTCCAGAGACCCTCCGTAACTAATTCCTTAACTATTCTCATAGGAAATTCTTTATCTAAAACTTGTTCTTTCCCACTTGTGTCCCTCATCCCTTTTCTTCTGAAGATCAACTCAATAAAGAGTCCAGCTCCATCCACTCAATAAAAACCCCTCATAGTGACTGAGGAGCTGCTTTTGTGTCCCCCTGAAGTTGTTTCTCCCCTAGGCTTGGCAAGTGCAGCTTGCACAGCCTCCCCTCTCAGGGTTGGTGGCCCCCTGCCCATCTCAGCATGTCTCTGCAGAACATGCTGAAATTGCAGAGCCAGCAGCCAGGTTTCTGATTTGGCTTTTTGCTAACAATAAGGATGACTGAGTTTATTAAGTATTCACACATTCTTATCTAACTCTTACTTGTGACAGCACTAACATTTTATACTAGAGATTTTTTCCTAATTACTGAGACTGCCTTAAGCATCTTATTTATTATCCATCCTACTAACAATAAACAAGCCTCAGGGGTTATGGAAGATGACATGGAATTCATTCACTCGGGGCTTTCCACCTCTCATGTTCTTGCCACCAAAATTTAGCTATGCCAATGCACTCTGAGAACGAGAGCACTGTGTGCCCCTGAAGTGCTCTGGTACTGCAGTGATGAGGCAGTACATGAGGTGCCCGTGCCCACAGGGGGTGGAGTTACCAGAGCATCGGCCAACTTTGTACCACAAACTCTAGTGACAGAAAACAGCAGGCAGATGCTAGGTGCTGAATTCTTTTCTACACACAGGCTGCAGCATGAGGGCTTTGGAGGAGGGGAAACAACACCCTTTACTCCCCTGGTGCAGGAGTAATGAAGGGCTAATTGCAGCCCTGGCTGGGATCAAGGGGAGAATGAGCAACAGCTGCTGTAAAAACCACCACCTCGGAAGGGTGGGGGAGCTGCTGGGGGCTGTAAAGACATATTGAGGTAAGAGGCTAGGCTGGTAGGTAGTGCAGGGGAGGATGGGAAGTGGTGGTCTGTGCTCTCCTGTTTTCTGCCACCCAGAGTACTTTATTTGAGCTGCGTGTTGCAG